TCCTCTGAGACCTGTGAAGCGCCTCCGCATCTTTTCGAACTGCTGCTCACGCAACGTCACTGGACAGCCGAACGTGCTCAGAGGAAAGCGCCAACCGCCAGTTCTGTTACGTCAGCTAACAGACGCCTGCAATGACTAGCATCACGAGTGACGGGGGAGAAGTGGGGGCCATCCTACCCACCCAGGGAGTGAGGCCAATTGTGCTCTCTTGGACTCCCGGCCACGGATGGCTGTAGCATCACCAGGGATCAAACTCGCAATCTCCTGATGACAGGGCCAATGCTTAGTCAGTTGCCCCACTCTGGAGCCCGTAGTGTCATCATTTTTTTTAATCATTTTTAAGCCCGAATTTTGTCTGTACTCTTGTCCATTTATAGATACACAGTGTCTGGAATCACATAAGCAAGCCTACCTGAGATTACAACTCAGGACAGGACAGTTTGAGGCGTGTGATGATTTAAGTGTGTAGATGGCACAATGCTAACTGGTGGGGTATGAAGTTCTACGTGTTGTTAGCTACTCCAGTCAGAGCCAAAGTAAAGTAGCAGACTTTGTACACGACACATCTTGACTGACTGACTGACTACATTTGAGGTAAGAGGCAAATTGTGAAAACCTGAATTTTAGCCAAAGTCTTCCTCTAAAGAATGATAAAACATGTCCATTCGGATTCCACAGCGAGTCAAAGCTGTGTTCTGACACTGACACACTGGCATTGCATATGGCTGTGCTGTAGGCTGTGGTTACCGTTTCTTGACGCTGGAGAAAAGTTCTGTAATCTGCCAAAAAATCCCATCATCTGTATAATAAAGTTAAGCTGCCTTCATTCCTGCCTGTCTCTCTCTCCCTCTAACAGAAGCCTTCCAACGTGTGTGTGTTAGAGGGTAGGGATTTTCTGAGCTACGTTAACCTTGGCATATGTCTGAGAGAGCTCTGTGGGCTTAAGTTAAAGAGGATGAAGCCTGCTGTAGACCTTTGGCCTATTTCAGAAACAGGCGAGCGAGAGCCAGGTCTCCAACTGTGATCCTGCAGTCGAAAAACATCTTCCCATTCTGTAAAATGTGCTGTCACTTCTAATAACTATGTACAACAACACTAATCAGCAATGAAAAAAAGATCATTGTTGCACTGGGGCCTATAATTAGCTTTCCTGAGGAAGCAAACATTGTGCCAGGTAACGCATGTCTAGGTTTGGGAAATGTGACACTATCAACACTGTGGTATTTTTTAGGGATATGTACAGGAACTCAAGTGCTCGTTTAATTGCGCACAGTGTCCGTATTTGAATACTGCAATCGCTATTCGGGAACTTGCTCTGTTTCAGGACAGCAAGTCAGGAAAGATGTACATGTTAACATTTCAATGAAAATGTTTTGGTCTTAACTGGACTTCAAAATGTTACGGTCACTCCGAAACACAAGTGTCTTAATGTGGACAGGCTGTCAAATACACGTTGTTATAAGGACGTGATCGAGAAGGCAGAGCTAGCACAGCTTTATTGCTAACTAGCCTAGCTGATGTTAGCCAAGTCCAGAAAGAGTGGAATTATATTGATAAATTGATAAACTAACAATTGGCACATGTTTCTGTAAGAAGCCAGGGTTGCACCAGTTAGCTGTACACACTTGAAAAAGATGGATTTTCAAGGGTTCTTTAGTAAAGAATGAGGGTTCTATACAGAACCATGAACACTCAAAGAGCTCTCTGCATGATTAGTTTCTTTGCAGGTGGAAAGGTTCTTCAGAATGATGACTATTAAGAATTCTATAGAGCATCAAAAAGGGTTCTTCCATTGTTACAAGCTTAACATCAAAACAGTAGCAGAACGTACCGTTTTTGGTGCGATACAGAACCCTTTTCAAAAAGGCTCTACATAGAACCATCTACAGCGCACTCTCCATCAATCTGAAGAACGCTTTAATGATGCAAAGAACACTTTAATCATGAAAAAACCATTTTCTTTACGAAAGAAGCATCTTTTTTAAGACTGTACTTTCAGCTCAAACCTAAAAGGTGGCTACAACACGAAAACTACTGAATCATCACTTTTTTTTTTAAATCAAATAAACCATAAATTTATATATTTATATTTATATATATATATATATATATATATATATATATATATATATATACACACACCTCTGTTTGCTGCTAAATTTTTGTGCTACTGATTTTTAAGCCCCCAACACCAGCCAAAGCTCCTATTATTTTGGCCATTTATCCCCCCTCTTTCTCACAAATGGCTCAGCCAATCAGACATCAGAACCGGAACTTCACTATCATATCAAAGCATCCTCATTAAATGCTTGTGTTATTATCAACTGCCCTTTACATTATGTGACCATTTAGCCTGAAACAGTACCAAAAATACTTGAAATAAAATAAAATCTCACGACATCAACATGCAATAACGTAAATAACATTTCCCCCCTATTTCTATGAAGCTACCATTTCAGAGATGCAAGGTTTTATTACACTGTACATTACAGGCTCTGCCAGCTGCAAGCTTCGGTTCTCTCATCCAATCATTGACATGCAATTGCCATGAGAACGCCGGTGTAATCCTGAGAGTGGCAAGGACAAAGTTCAGGGCTGTGTAATACTATTACTCTTACTTGTGTCATCAGCCTTTAGAGGATCACCTTGAGCAGCCAACTGTCAGGCAGCTTTAAAAAGCAGTGTAATTGTGGTTAAATTGAGCGATACGGTGCGCACAGGACAGTTAGGGCTGGACAGCCACTTCACAACGTATGTATCACAATACAAGCTTCACGTTAAGATACGAAACAAAACAGCACACCAGACATACACTACACATTAAAAAATATCTAGACCCTCCTAATTAGCAAATGCTGCTACTTTGGGGTGCACGAATGGCTAACAAAGGTAGTCCTTAACGGGCACACACAGCTTGTATAATGTCTTTATAAAAGCAGTGGCACTAGAATGCGAAGCTCTAGGGCACCGTCACCATGACCAGTGCCAAGAGGGGTATAAGCCAGCGTTGGGTTGTGGAGCAGTGGAACTACAGTGATGGAGCTCCATCCACTTCATTTGGGATGTGCTTGTGTGGCGTTTGTGATCCAGAACTAATCATCCAACATCAGTACTTGACCTCACTAATGCTCTTGTGGCTGAATGAAATCAAATCCTCACAGCACTGTTATAGAATCTAGTGTAAAGCCTTCCCAGAAGAGTAGATGGTGTTACCGCAGCAAAGGGGGGGGGGCAAACTTCTAATTAATACCTTTTATTACAGAAGAAATCAGCCTACCTGCCTGCACCTCTGTAGTGAACCGAGATCAGCCTGTTTCGGATTTGTGGCGTCGCACAATATATTGTTTTCGTAATCATTATTGCAATACTGGCCTTTGCAATACTCATATAACAGGGAGCTGCAGTAAGCAAATGTCTTTATCAAACTACTTTTTAAAATCACAATCACACACACTCCAGATGACATTTCTGTTGGTCAAGACATTTAGATGCTTCAACATGAGTAAACTTTGGTAAAAAAAACAAAAAAAAACAAAAAAAAAAATCCAGGCTGATATTCATGTGTTTTATTATACTGGAAGGAATACTCTTATGAAACTATATTGTAGCATAGTATTCTGCCAGCGCTGTGCAGCCCTAGTCCTCACCACACTCAAATCAAGGCGTCAGGTGATCAGAACAGTCCGTTTACATGTGTGTACCGCTGTGCGTCTGTAAAGCTTTTGATCTCAATTCCTGCAACTGTACTCATAGGAAGGGCAAAACTGCTGAGCAAGCAGGCTGCAACAGGCAGGCAACTGATATGACTCCCCGTCACTCACACAGATACACGCCCCAAAGCCTGACTCCTCATATCTGGAATACATGCTTTTCTCCGCGCGTCCCGAAAACGTCTCTTAGATTCGGCCCTTCTGTTCTTATCTAATCCCATCCCTCCCTCCATGAGAAGAGTGAAAGCGTAATTAACCTTGTTCTGGGCACCAGCCCAACTCTACAGTCCACACACACACACACACACACACACACAACTGTACACACACGCACAGCGTTACACAACCATCCACACACCATGTTACACACCCTCGAACAGCGCGCCACATACTGAAACACTAGAAAGAAAGACGTTTGAGGAGTGTATGCAATCCTCTGATCCTCTGTCAAGGTCAAACCTGCTGAGGAGAGAAAACAGAAGAATTCCGCTCTACAGAACAGCCGATATAACTGAGCAGAACAGAACATAGAATATGTAAATAGAAGAATTCTTCTCAATAGATTAGATTAAAACATGGAACAGAGTGTGATAGAATACAATATTGGGTAGAAAATGATGGAATAAAATGTTGAACGCTGCCAATAAAACAATACAGAACACTGAGCAGATTAGAACAGAATCTAGAACGCAGAACAGCATTTCGTACAGATCAGAATATAAATTACATCAAGAGAAGAAATTCGGTTCTGCTTTAAAAAAACCTTCAGCCTAAGTTTTGCACAGGATGACCAGAGCTGCTCACGTTTCCCCATCAGAACGGTTCTAGCTAAATGCAACTGTTGTGAGTGAAGGCAGAAGAACCCAACCCTCCTTTGCGATCAGGGTTTTAAAAGGCCTGCTGGGTTACATGCAAGCCAACGCAACAGGCTTTAATGCGCGCTGCTGCTATTTAAACTCTGCTGTGTGCAAACGCTGCACCACATAATCCGATTCATGCAGCAAAAGCCTCGCTGCAAAGCTCGAGCACCGAACAAGCCCCATTTACTGTTTTAACCAGCAAAAGCTCGAATTATTCTACACAAGCCCCTCACAGTCACCTACAGTCCCCTAGAGGGGAGGAAACCAAAGTGAATACATGCATTCTGGAGAAATGATTCCAGCGAGAATGACGTGACACAGATTACAGATTACAGGCACGAGGTCACGTGGGTGCGATCATGGTGGTGGAGGAGAAAAGCGTGTGCGTGTTTAGGCGGTTTAAATGGAGATGTGCCGGCCAGCTACCCACCTGAGGAGCAGGAGATGAGGAACACGGCGAATGCGAGTTTGGTTGCAGACCCCATGCTCAGTCCCCCAGGCGGATTCCTTCACTGGAATAAATCCTAAAAAGAGCACGAGTCGGTGTTTTATGTCCGTGCAAAAGCTGCCCAAACGTCAATGAACGAACACAAACACAGCAGCAGAGAGTCTTTCAGCAGGAGGCTGGGAGCTTCTTCCCCAGCAGACCGGCTCCTCTCCGGCTTTGGAGGCTCTCCGGACCGCCGAGAGAAAACATACTCAGTTCAGGGCTTCGCGGCTTGTTTGGATGAAGACGTGAACGTGGATATATATAAAAAAAAAAACAATAAAAAGTTCTTCTGTCTATCAAACCGCCACAGCAACAAGCTTGTTTCTGTTATCTAGCTCCGTGATGTGGAACGTTTTCTGACTGAATTCATTTTAACACGACAAAAAACCAAACAAACTAACGACTCGCGCTTCACCTCAGAAACGTGCGATAATATTAACGTACAAAAACAAAGTTAGCTGGCAGGCTAACGTTAACTGCTCCTGTCAGTTCTTCACTTACAAGTTCATAAATGTCATAAATGTGTTTCCAGCGATATCACGAATATCACGTTTTGGCGAAAACGCTAACGTTGCTCAGGTTGACACCTCAATGTAGGTTCCTCAGTAATGACAAAGTCCTGGTATCAGCGACGTTAACAGTTAACGCCAAAATACGTGGAGGACTGTAGGTTAAGTTAACTCATTCAGCTTTTAATCTCGATTGACAGATTTCCTTAATTCCTCCAACTCGAGGACGGCAATAATAATAACGATGATGATGATGATGATGATGATGATGGCCACACGGGTAAATCCATATCGTCCTCCTGGTGTTAGAAAGATAGAGAAGCAACGACTGTATCCAACATTTAACCTATACTGTCCCAAATTCTAGCTTGCAAAAGAAGGAATTAAATGTCAGACGAGAATGTCATCGCAAAAGTGGCCAAGTGTTCGCCGAAATACTGCTTTTGACAGCTAAAAGCGCGGACGTGTTGCTCGAAACGGACGTTATAACCGTTAACGTTAGTTTCCAGAGCGCCTTTAGTCAGCAGGCTAACGTAGCTCAGCTCACAGCCAAGCCGAGTAAAAGTACGTTATCAGCCGAAGCCAGTCCGACCGACCGGGCTCGTCCCGATCTTCTTCCAAACGCGCTCCAAACCTGCTCACAGAAACAGCTCCGATAAGTACGAGTCTTCTCGGTCGACTGTCCTCGAAGATTATTTCACACTTTCGACTGCCAACCTGCTGCGAATAATAAATGTCGAGAGACTTTCCTCCCTCCTCCTCCTCGAACCCAGAGCGCTGGCTCTCCGTCCTCATTCAGGGGAAAACTACACTGGATTCAAGATGGCGTTCGGCACGGATTGTTTTTGTTTTTTTTCCCTCTCAGCTCCTCCTCGGATTTTTTTCCCGCCCGTATTCCAACAAGCCCCGCCCACCGCCATAGGATTGGCTACAGATGCACGCAGAAAAATCAAGATCAGCATCAAATCTTTATTATTTAAGGTGTCAGAGCCTGAAGTGGTTCTTCAGATTAATACAGAACCTGCTGTAGATGGTGCTACATAGAACATCTTTAAAAGAGTTCTATATAACACCTAAAAAGGGTTCTTTTACTGTTACAATGTCAAGTTTGTCATAGTAGAAAAACCCTTTTCAAAAAGGTTCTATAGAGAACCACCTACAGCACATTCTCTATCAGTCTGAAGAACGATTTTACTATGCAAAGAACCTTATAAGCATGCAAAGGGTTCCTTGAGTGTTCATGGTTCAACTGAAAAAAGGTGGTTCTTTGAGAGTTCTTTAGTTTAAAAAGTGGTTCATTATAGAACCATGAACACTCAAAGAACCCTTGGTATATTTAAAGGGTTCTTTGAATCATGAAGTGGCTCTTTAGATTGATAGAGAATGTGCTGTAGATGGTTCTACATAGAACCTTTTTAAAATAGTTCTGTATAGCACCAAAAAGGGTTCTTTTACTGTTGCAATGTCAAGCTTGTCATAACAGAAGAACCCTTTTTGGTGCTGTACAGAACCCTTTTCAAAAAGGTTCTATATAGAACCATCTACAGCACATTCTCTATCAGTCTGAAGAACGATTTTACTATGCAAAGAACCTTATAAGCATGCAAAGGGTTACTTGAGTGTTCATGGTTCAATTAAAAAAAAGGTGGTTCTTTGAAGTTTCTTTAGTTAAAACCGTGGTTCTATATAGAACCATGAACACTCAAAGAACCCTTGGTATATTTAAAGGGTTCTTTGAATTATGAAATTTTTTTTAGATTGATAGAGGATGTGCTGTAGATGGTTCTACATAGAACCTTTTTAAAAGGGTTCTATATAGCACCAAAATGGGTTCTTTTACTGTTACAGTGTCAAGCTTGTCATAACAGAAGAACCCTTTTTGGTGCTGTACAGAACACTTTGCAAAAAGATTCTATATACATCTACAGTACGTTCTCCATCAACCTAAACAAAACTTTTATGATGGAAGGAACCTTTCAAGCAAGAACCATCTTTTGAAGTGTATTCATGCTCACTGTTCCTCACCGTATCCTGTTCATTTCAGTAGTGAGCTCTACCGCAGTGTTGTTTTTTCGAAGCATACATTACAATAAAAATGACAATGCACAAAATAATCTAAAATTATTTAGTGTTAAAGAGGAATTTCTCTATTTTTTTTTTATTTATATCTACGTAGTTCATTTGTTCCGATGTAAACAAACTTCACAGAATGGTTTATTATGAAAAAGTGCATTGAAGAGAAACCTGCCTATTTTGATTTCTTCACAATGGTGGTGATAGGAACCAGGAGTCACAATGTCTACAACACAAAACATTTTATTTACTGTTCAAAATGACCAGTTAACCTGCAGGCTTTTATATGTGATGTTAAATTAGTGTTAAAAATGAAAAGCCTAACTATCTCTGGGTATTATTTTTCCACACAGTGCCCTGCATGTACCTCTCCGCCATAAACGGATTAAAAAATACGTTTCAGGCCGAAACCTTTTCTCAAAACTATAGTAAAACAATGTCTCATTAAAGGCATTACACTCCTCTGACGTCTGGTTCCTATCACTCCCACTGTGAACTGAGAACCATTCTGACTTGGCAAGTTTCACATCAGATCACTCCTTAAAGTCTGAATGACTTTAATTTTGCCGAATCTGATTTGAGGGCTGTGCACAGCTACATTATACATGTTGAAGTTGTGTCGAGTTATAAATAAAGTACATGTCCATATGCATGCGCTGTGGATGTGTAACTGTCTATGGAGAGAGAAGTGGGAGGGGCCCTACAGGAGGACTTGCTGGAAGACTGCTAGCCGAGTGTAAAGCAGAAGGCGGGGTACGAATATCCAATCCTGGCGCAGTGGGCGGGGCCAGTCGGAATACGGGTGTGAAAACCGGAACGTCCTCCTTCTCTGCCTTCAGCTCCGCACGGAATAACACCGGAGAGCAGCTTGACTGACACGTTGACGCGCCCAATCGGCTGAAAGGAAAACCGCACGAGTGGAGAACAAACGCATAAATAAACGTGTCCAAGTCCTCAAACAGAGCGTCAGTGTGGAAGGTGTCGGGGTGGTGGATGTGTGGTCCGCTGGATCTGGACAGAAACAGGACGGACACATTTAGTCAGGGGTAAAGCCCACACAGGCAGAGCTGAAGGCCTCGTGAACGAGCATGATTTGAAATGGTTATAAGCCTTTTAGTCAGTCAATTATGTAGTATTTAAGACTTGACTTTTAATACTCTCTCTCATTCTCTCTCTCTCTTCTCTCTCTCTCTCTCTCTCTCTCTGCTGGCCTGTGAGTCTCTGAAACACTGGACTGGTGTACTGTACTCATTTTCACACAATAGTAATTTGTAGACTATACAGTTTCAGCCCTGAGTGACAGGTGGTTGTTTAAGGGGCTGTTTTAAAGGGGAAGGTATCAATGCTGCAGTAGTGAAACACTGAGCCCTTCTGGGTTAAGTGTGGAGTCCCGAGATCCAGCAGACAACATGATCACTCACACACAGACCACAAACACACAGAGGACCACCCCACTAAAACGCTCTGCCAATCAGTGAGAGCAAATAGAGACAAATATGTTTATGACAAATATTTTACTGTCTCATGTCCAGACCATGGTTATGCTTGTATGGATTTGTGAGACACTAATGTGCTTGTTTTTGTACATTTTCAAGACAAAAATTCCTCGCTTTTTAAGAAAGTCTTAGTACGAGTCAAGTCAGCACCAGCATAGTCTGGACTGAAAAAACATAGAAACCACTGAGTGTTTCTGTTGGTTCCTGATGGTTTTGTAATGCGTTTTGGCTTTTTAATGGGTTGATATCACAGTGTAAAGGATCCTACTGATTTAACAGGTGACCAATGGCTGATTCTAAATGCATTTGATGGTTTCCTATATATAGGCATATATGAAGAGTTCAATTGCAAAAAACGATAAACGCCATTCTTAAAAAATTGAGCTGACTGTGGTGAGTTATTCTTAACACAGCGCATTCTGCTCCCTTTTCAAGGCATCCATTTAAAATTCATTTTATTTTCTTTTGGCCTTCAAAAGTCTGAAAATGTCAGTGTGGTGCAGCCGTTCAACTATATATGTTGAGTAAACAATTACAAAAGTTTGTCATGATTTTATGTTTTACAATTTTAAAACTTATACCATGTTGCAAAATCAGGCAACTATAAAAGTATTCAACTCACTAAAAAACGTGTTAGATAGCACAACCAAAAACAAAGGCTTTTATTTTGACATTCTGTTATAAAAGAGAGGCCAGGTTATTGCATCATAAAAAGACCACGAGTGACCTCCATGGTGCAATGTTAAGGTCAGTAGCCCTTTCAAAAATTTACGAAAAAAGTGTGATTTTTGAGTCGTGGTTAGAATTGTTCAGTTTACAGTGTCAGGTGGTATGACCTCAGGAAAACAATGACAATGTGTACTTATTATAATAATGTTCAGTTATTTGAAAAAATATATGATAGTGTGTAATTATCATAATAATGTTTATTTCATTGACAAAATGTAAGTATAAACTCAAGTTCAAGGACAAAAGTTTCTAAGGGAGTTTTCTACTCTTTCATTTGAAATTAGTCTGAAAAGTCAGGTGGCAAGATAAAAAATGCACATGCAAATATATATATATATATATATATATATATATATATATATATATATATATATATGCAGATATGAAAATGCATATACTCTTTTAAATAAGATTTCTAAAAATTGTAATTTTGAAAACCTTATGTGTCACTGACTCGTATTTACACATATATACACATACATGTATGTATAAAACATACAGGCCATATTATTCTTAGATGTAGGTACTCACATACATATATGATACATATCATCACTGTTACAACAAAATCTCCAAAATAGAAAAACTTTTTATGTAAAAAAAAAATTACTGTAAGTTAATGCAATGGGAAGTCCTTCTGGGACATTTCTATTGGTCCATTAATCATAAAATATTTAATATAACGTAAGGAGCAACTGGTATTTTCCCATTTTGTAAAAAAAGGAGACGAAGTTTTGTCCGAACACATATTAAATTGTTTTATAACACTCAGATACTTACATAAATGTACATATTATTACGTATACATACTTACAAACTCGTGTCTGAGTGTGTGAGTGACAGGAGAAAGAGCGAGAGAGAGAGCATGGGTGAGAGAGGTCAGTTATTTGTGATTGAGTGATGAGCTTGTATATATGTGGTTATTCTGAGAGGGCTGTTCTCTAGGGGTCTGGAGCAACATTCCAAAAAGCGCCCCCAAGGTCTATGAGGTCAAATAGTTCCTGCTTGATGGATGAGGTTGTGATGAGGTAGCACCCACATACACACACACACACACTCTGCAGTGTGAACACACAACGCCTCTATCCTGCCATTCCACATTTATCCCTCAACACGAGGTCTAACCCTCTACGCTAGGCTTTGTCACCAGCAGCGATTTGTCATTGAATGTTTTTTTTCCGTCTTAGTTATTTTTTTTTACCATTGTGAACGTATGACATTGTCACTCCTGCCGAAGTTCAATCATGACACACCAACACGGGTCAGGGGTGCTATAATAAATCGGGTTGCCAGGCAAAAGTGGCTGCACGGGGGCTTAAGATGCCAGGAGCACACGAGGTGAGTTATGACCTGAAACGTAACCCTAAAGATGGCGACGCGCTTTTAGTGTTTGTTTTTCTGCAGTAAATCTGGTAACTTGGCAAACACACGTATGATGGATTACCGTGCACAACAATTCAGCCTTTATGACGCCCACGCATAGAGGATAGTGTGCGGGAGAGGGAGTGAAAAGCCGGAAGTTTATAAAAAATGAAAGAAATA